TTTTTTTTTATTTATTATGTATACAATATTTTGTCTGTGTGTATGTCTGCAGGCCAGAAGAGGGCACCAGACCTCATTACAGATGGTTGTGAGCCACCATGTGGTTGCTGGGAATTGAACTTAGGACCTTTGGAAGAGCAGGCAATGCTCTTAACCGCTGAGCCATCTCTCCAGCCTCTATACATTACATTTTTAAATGAACTATACAATCACAATACCTTAAGATCAGAAACACATATACATATAACAAAATTGACCTTAAATTTAAATCACTAAAGCAAAATTCATATCAGTGCAAATTATTCATACCTATATCATATCCCCCATTAAATGTAAAAGAACATTTATAAACAATATTTGGGAATATGGTCGCAGTTATTTCTCTCCAAACTGCTTCCTGCCGAATGGGGGCGCTGTTAATCAGATATTTCAGGGACTGTGCGCTAGGGTCATCTCAGTTGGCAGTTGAGTGAAGTAATTTTTTGAGGGTGTTTACAGCAACCTTTCAGGAGGGTGTGGTCGATCATACCATATTGGAATAGAAGCAATCCATAGTGTCTCATCCTCTGTGAAAACAAAAGAAAAAACTCCTTTCTAAAGTATCATATTCTTAGATCCAAATTCTGAAGTCAAGGTATTTTCAAAATATCTATGTTGGATTAGTTCAGCAGCATTTATAAACAAATATCTTTTAGCAGTTGTTGCTTCTTCCTCAGCATTCAAACAATTCAAACAGAGCATAATAGCATACAGTATCAAAATTCTCTGTGTATTTTCCATGTTTGTGCGGCTTTATTTTAACCTCTATTTCATTTATTTTTACTTTTATATTCTCTGTATATCTTTGTCCTGGAATAACTCTGTAGACCAGGCTGTCCTTGAACTCTCAGAGATCCACCTGTCTCTGCCCCCCAGGCATTGGGATTAAAGGTGTATGCTACCACACCTTGAACTCACGGAGATCTGACTGTCTCTGCCTTCTAGGCACTGGGATTAAAGGCATGTGCTACCACACCTTGAAGTCACAGAGGTCAATCTACCTCTGTTTCCCAAGTGTTGAGATTAAAGGTGTGTACTACCACACCCAACTACTCTCTTTCTTCCCCTTTTTTTTTTGTTTTTTACTTTAAGAACTTTAACGTTTAGCATGCATATATTTTTAACACACTGTAAATCATTTAAACGTTTTCTTTGACTTTGAATCTTTCTTTTACTGTACATGTCTCTTTTTTGACTACATGAGTCTTTAATTTACTAAGCAATATTGGTAGGACTAAAGCTGTGGCTTTGGCGGCTGGATCCAGCCCATTCCTTAGCTTTATGCCATTCCAACCTTGTGGCTGAGGTACCGGCCAGAGCCGCGTTCAGTGCCACAAGTCTACAGTGTTTCAAGGTCCTTGCCAGCAAGTAAGCTGCAGCATTATGTCCACAGACAACACTCAAGTCCTCTATCTGTAGTTGGCCCTCCTGCCTCAAACAGTCAGAGTTTGCCCTGGCAGGACGGCCCAAAAAGCTGACATTTTAAAACAACACAGGTTTTTTCCTACTACTGCTGAAAACAAACAAGCATTCAGTCAGCTTTTCATCAACACCATTTAAATGTTTCGTGGCAGGACCTCTTAAGAGCTGCAGGGTTTTGCAGCTAAAGCTGAGTCAGGAAGCCTCTCTTAAATGAGAGCGCTTGCTTGCCTCTGGCAAGCAGAGCAGACCCAAGAAACTGCTACCAAGAAAACATTCTTTCCTCTTTCCCAAGCTTTCTCAGGTTTTCAGTGGGTTCAACTGTTCACAAGTCTGGGCGCTATTCTGTAGTGGGAGCTGCAGGCCTGCCTTTCGTCCCGCCCAGCTCCCGCACAGCTAGCTTTACACCAGAAATAACAACACACAAATTGTATTCTTTTAAAAACTGCTTGGCCCATTATATCTAGCCTCTTCTAGACTAACTCTCGCACCTGGACTAGCCCATTTCTAACAATGTGTGTAGCACCCCAAGGTGCGCTTACTGGGAAGATTCTAGCCTACGTCCATCCTGGGTCGGAGCTTCATCGCCTGTGCCCGGGAGAGGGGAGCATGGCCTCTGAGCTCACTTCCTCTTCCTCCCAGCATTCTGTTCTGTTTACTCCTCCCACCTATGTTTTAACCTATGAGGGCCAAGCAGTTTATTTTTTAACCAATGAGTTTCCTCCATCACACAGCATGTCCTAGTTCGGCTGCTGTTACTGTGATAAAAACACCCTGACCAAAAGCAACAAAGGGAAGGAAAGGGTTTATTTGGTTTGCAATTCCAGGTTGGAGTCTATCATTGAGGGGATGTCAAGACTGGAACTAAAACACACACACCCATAGTCAAGAGCAGAAAACAGGGCTGGAGGAATAACTCAGTGATTGAGTACATGCAGCTCTTGCTGAGTACCCAGGTTCATTTCCCAACACCCACATGTCTTCTCACATCTGTTTATAACTCCATTTCCAGG